TATGTATCTTGTCTCAGCGCTTTCATTCATTCTCTTGCTTCCTTGCTGCCATATGAACAGCTTTGCCATGCCATCCTGCCTTGGAACTAACTATACACTGAAACAAGAGCTGAAGTAAATCTCTTCTCCCTAAAGTTATGTGTGCTGGGTATTGTTTCAGTGATGAGAAAGTAAGAAAAATGATTTAGTATCAGATATATTTTAAAAGGCATCTCACATCACTATGGAAATGAATTGCTCATTAAATACTATGGGGACAATCAGCTTTATGAACAAAGAAATAAAGTGCTTTAATTCATATCTCTCTTTTTCTCTAACTCCCTCAAGATTAAGAAACTAATTGCAAATGCAAACTTGTAAGCATGCTGGAAGAAAACATGAAATGTATTTAAGTGCTTAGAGACATTCTTCCACTAATTATCTCTGACTATTTTGGCTAACGAAAAAGCTTCAAGAATAGTTTGATAAACACCTAGGTTCTCATCTGCTCAAGACATGAAACGTGACAAACATAATTGAAGTCAAAGAGTGCCTACCCTTAGAATTTTAGGAAAGTAAAACTACACAAAGTACTGCAAGAATATAGAGAATACCTAAATCCAACAGGGCTCAGGAGTATCCAGCCATAAAATTAGGTTAAGAGTCCTCTAAACTGAGAAGGTGGCATGTACTTGAGCTATTCACAATTTGACTCTGCCCACTAAAGATTATCAATGACAAAGTCCCAGCATGCCAGTTTACCAACCTGGGCGGTGCTATCTGAAACACAGCTCTGGTGAGTTTACCTTGCTAGTGGAAGGGGTCAGAAGGTATATGTGAGAGAACACCCAAACAAAAAAAAGAACATGAGCTAAGTGTTCTGGTGTACACCTGCAATTCCAGCACTCTGAGAAGCTGAGGCAAAAAGACTGCAAGTTCTAGCCCCAGCCTGGCAACTCAGCGACTTAGTGCAGAAGACGCTACCAGAAAACAGACTACTCAGAAGAAATGATTAAACCAAGCTCCTTTAGAGAAAAGGGTAAAACTGATTACTAAAAATCTCGAGGCCAAACATTCAGATTTTAATGGGGCAACAGATTTATTGTGTTGAAAGGAATGAAGTTCCTGCTCTATGTATGTGTACAAGTAGCTTTAAAATAATAATCTGCAGGGCACGGTGGCACATGCCTATAATTCTAGCTCTTGACAGGGAGAGGCAATAAAGTTCACTGCAAGTCTCAGGCCAGCTTGGCCTATATAATGACTTAAGGCCAGCTTGAACCACACTGGGAGACAACTGTCTCAAAAACCAAGAAAAAAAAGACAGAAAGAAAAATCTACCCTAAGACATACAGTAACACATATAGTTCTCTTATTCGTCATCAATCAGTTAATTTATTTCTCACTCAATCTCACTAAAATACATTCAGTGGTCACAGAATAAAAACAAGTAGTCTGAAGCTTTGTGACACTTGTGTCACAAGTGTTTCTGAAGCTTTCTGCGTTGACTACTCTAGTTCTGAATTTCTAACAGCTCCTTGAGTCTATGTAATCACATAATATAGCTGATTCCTTTATCCATCTTCTGTCTCCTTTACTGAATTGTGTTAGCTTTTATCTCCTAGCTATGAATGTTCCCAAAGATAAAGTATGTAGCTTCTACTTTTCTTCAACTATCAACTTCAAACAACATAATTTCAAGAATTCTGGCTTGGTCTTTCTTTTAATTCTAGTTATACATTATCTTCTAGCATATTGTCTCTAACTTAAATTGCCTGTTTATAAGTCCATTATTCTCTTATCTATCCATTATATTTTAGCTTTTCCCAGTTATACGCATTACCTAGACTTTTCCCACAGTATCTTTCCCACTTATCCACTATCACAAAGAATCTAATTTGGGCACTGATTACCTTACTACTTAATCAGCTTTCTTCCTTCCAGTCTCTTTCTTCTTTCCTAAGCATTTGGAACATTACTGGTAAATGAATCATTCTGAAACACTAAGCAAAAGTGTCATTCTTCCTCAAAACCTTGGAATAATGAATGTCAAATATTTCAGATATTTAAAAACTAAAAACTAAAAATGGCTTCAGCTGGTGGTACATGCTTATAATCCCAGCTCTGGAGAGACTGAGGCAAGAGGATTGCTATGCATTCAAAGCCAGCTTGCGCTACACGGTGAGGTAAATAAATAAATAAATAAATACAAAATTGGCTTCAGTGTGACCTCCTTATCCAATTAATCTTTTTTTTTTTTTGTCTTTTTCATTTTTATCAGTACCGGGGATCGAACTCACGACTGCCTGCTTGCAAGGCAGGTGCTTATGCTGCTGAGCTAAATCCCCAGCCCCTCCAATTAATCTTCTACAGTATCTAAGTCTTTCTGTTCTCAAAAGAAAAGGCTGGGATATAGCTCAGAAGCCCTGTGTTCAATCCCCAGCTCTGCAAATATATACATACATAAGTAAGTTTTTAAAAATTCTGCTGGGCATGATAGCACATGTCTGTAATCTTAGCATTTGGGAGGCTGAGGTAGGAAAATTTCAAGTCAAGCTACTACTCCCTCATTATACTTCCACAATAATTCTACACAACCTGATTTTTATTCTAATCATACTAAAATGATTTTTCGAGTCTTCCAATTACAAAGCAAATATTTAAGATCTCCATTTTCTTGGCCTTAGTATGCCATTCACAATTCGTCTTACCTTTAAAGTATCATCTAGAGCAGTGGTGGCCAACTTATGGTAACCACACTACAGCCCACTGTTTGTTATTAATAAAAACTTTACAAGGTTCACTATCACTGATCTAGAGTCTGAGCTCAAGTAACAACAACAAAAAAAAAACCCTAGACTTCCTCTAAAATACTTTGTTTTTTCAGAGTTTAGGCTTTAACATATAATACATGCTGTGTCAATGCCTTCCTGATACTACTCTGCTCTGATTGCCTATAATACAGGTCAAACATCTATGGAATTTACCCCCACTCATCTTTGTTCTTGGTACACTTTTCTATAGTTCCCAAAAAGGATTTATAATAGTGTACACTAATTATTTTACATGCCTTGGTATGCTCAGAACTTAACATTTTTTGAGGACCTTATAGACAGGTAAGAGTGTTTTTTGTTTGTGTTTGCTGTGCTGAAAGTTGAACCCAGGGTTTCAAGCACTACTGGCTAAATTCCCAACCCGAGTTAATTAAAAAAAAAAAAAAAGAAGAGAGAAAAAGAGTTGCTGTTTTAAAAGACTTTCTGATATGATCACATTATTCCATTCATTGCTACTCAAGCATGCTATATGAAAACGCAGTTATGTATTATAGTTAAGATTTCAGATTTTGAAGCCAGGCTATCTAAAAGCAAAGTTAGGATCTACTTATTAACTAGGCAAACTAAACTTTCTGTGCCTACATTCTGTTTAAAAAGAGGACAATAAGCTCTATCTCATGAGGTTATAAGGATTAAACACATTATTATGACCAAAACATTCAAAACACTGAAACAAAATAAGCATTAAGTATGTATCGACTATTATCATTAGTATATGTTGGACCTTTCCACATGCAAATCATCTTACTATGTTCTACTATTTTCCACTGTATATTACACTGTCAATGCTGTATTATGAACAGGCTCCCTTCATTTTTCTCTTTATCCAAATGTTACCCAGATTTTGAGGCTGATCTCTGTTAAGTCCTTTATTATTCCAATCTTCATATATGATCACTCTTTAACTTATCTACTGTTTGGCATTCTCTGTATCATTTTGTACTTAATTAAGTACAAGTAATATTTCACATAAGTTTGTCAACCTAATCACCCAATTTTTAAAACTTTGAAAGTCCTTATGACAATTTAGGCATCTGATTTCCTATAGAAGGTGTTAAGTGCTTAAGTTTTTGTGGAGTAAAAACAATAAAGCTCAAAAGAAATCTAACTCTGATAACACTGCCTTTGCAATCAAAGAAATGCAAAAGACTGTGAGAACATTCCATGCTTCTCTAGGAGCCAAGCTGCAAATGTTTAAGGGCCAAGAAGTTCTGACTCCCATTAAAATGAGAAGTTCTGAAACAGTTTCTGGAGGGAAAAATCCTCCTTGTTACTGCGCAGGAGTTATGGGTAGCACTTAAATTCCCAAACCAAACTGCAGCACTGGATTTTCTAAGAGAAATATGTCAATACAACACGATGTGAACACAAGATTTGCAATCTGAAAGATTTAGGTTCCCCGCATAGGGTATAGGGGGTCCCCATGCCTGTTTCCTGCTCCATATTGGACACTGCACCATCTACTACATAAGTATATACTATACATATCAATATAAAATTTTCACTGAAATGCCAAATTTCCTTAGACGAAAATTTTAATTTTACCTAAGAACATGGCATCAGTAGTTTATAAACTCTAAAATTATTTATAAGAAAAATAACTACAGTATGGTCAATCATATGGGCTTGAGAGGAGGGAAATATTTTACCATAAAGTTTATTCTCCTTCGACATTCTTTGTAATTTGTTCTTTCACTGTGATTAAAATCAAGCGTTCGAAATTATCTCCAAAAGGAAACGTTTGGAAAGCAAAATTTGACTTGAATACAAAATTAGTTTTCTAACTGTGTATTCCAGCTTATAGTTCAAAATATTTCCGAATAGCTATTAACATACATTTAGGAAACCAAGATAATGGCAAACAGCACAAATGATGATCTGAGTCAGTAATTTCAAATTAAAAGTTTTTCCAATTTGAAGTTGGCAGTCACACACAGTCTAAAGGATTTGTTTACAGCACTAAAACTAATCTTTTTAGAAGATTCAACCTCAATTTCTAGTAATTATTTTATGGTATTCTAATTGCTGAAATGACCAATACTACACAAATTAAACCCAAGTGAATTTTTTTAGGAAGAAGAAAAAACGTGGCAAGTCTTACTTTCACCCTAACCCCCTCCCGGCCACGCCACCCTCATCCCCGGGTTTGGAGTTGTAAAATCAAATCCTGTTCCGCCACGGAGAAACCACAACAGGGCTATTTGTAATAACCTTTAAGCTTAGGGGAAGGGGTGAAAATTTAAAGACGGATCTGTTTTCCTTAGGATACAGTGGTATATGGAACTGTTAGGTCTAGAACAGACCAACTGAAAACACGTTAGTAATATTTAATAAGCACTGTGAACTTTCAACGATGCTGAAAAGTTACAGTTTAAGGAGGAGAAGATGGCTCTGGGGAAGGGAAATCAAGCTCGGAGAGGGGAGCCAAGAGCCAAGTGCGGAGCCAGTGACATTTAAGGGGAACAGGGACTACGTGGATCTGGCAACCAAAGAGGTACGTTCTCCCGGGCTGTTCTGGGCGGAGGCTCACGAGGGTGTGCGCCAGCTTGTGCGCGTGGTCGGGGTTAAGGTCATACCTGGGGTTGAGAAATCGAGGTGACAAAAGTTGGGAAAGTCGTATTCGTAAGTGGGAACCGGAGAGGTAGGAATGTCAGAATTTACAGGCTGGGACTGACAAGTTCGGGGAGCGTCGGGGGCTCACCTCTACCGCAAAGAACGCCCCTGGAGAGCTCGCTGGCCGGTTCGTCCCGGCAGAACCCACACCCTCACGCTACACGGCCTTGCCTCCAACCGGCCCGTCTCACCTCTGGCTCCGGAACCTCGATCCTCTGCGTCTGCCCCGCGCTCGACCCCCTGGACGCCTGGCCAAGCCGGACCCGACGGCCAGGCGGGCGCGACCCCCAGCTCAGCAGAGCCCGGGCGGCGCCTGACAGCTCCGTGGGCCCCGCGGCCGCTCGCCGGAGCCTACGTCCGCGCGCAGCTCCTTCCCCGCGGCCACCGCGCTCGGCCCTCCTCTCCTGACGAGCGCGGCGCCCCTTAACCCCTCCTCCCCGGTGCCCCCGGGAGCCCCGCCTTCGGGCCCGGGGCCTGTGCACTGATTGGTCCCTGCTGGTCCCGGCGCAGCCGGCTATTGGTCTAGAGACCGCCAACGCCAAGGGGGCGGGATTCGGGGGCGACTGCGATTCCCGTAACGCGGCTCCCGGCATCCCGGATTCCGGTGGCTGCGCCCGCGTTGTCTCTCCTAGACGAAAACGAAGGGTTCCCCCACCTCTCCTCTGCGGGCAGAAAGAGCGGAACGTTCCATTTTCCCGGGGACTTAACGGGGTCAAAAACTGGAGCCGGGTTGCTGCCAGCGCCTGTGCCCTCCAGTCTCACCAAGGCGCGTTCTCCCTCCCTCGAGGCCTTCCTCGAGGGACTGCTGTACTTTGCTTGGGGACCTGGAGGCGTGGGAGCCCCTTGGGGACAGTGAAGGGCTCAGTGGCCGTGACTGCGCCGGAGATTACCACAGTTTGTGGTGGCGGCTTTGGTCCAAGTGTTATGTAAAAGAACCTTGCTGCGGTGTACTTTTTTCTTGTTAGTAAATGTGTTTGGGTGTGATTTATCAGTGAACCCAGAGCTGGTGACTTGCCAAGAAACTAGTGTTTCTTGCGGTTTGTACCTCAGAATCTGTGATAAAAATACCGAATGGGAACCAGTTTCATTGTCATTCACCTTCACTTACCCGACCCCCTCCACACTGTCTGGAAAGTGAATCTAAAGGCCCACGTTGGCATGTATTTTTTTCCAAAGCAAAATGAAAAGCTTAAAAGATAAGAGTGTGTGTGACTATAAAGAAACAATCTTTTGGGAGAAAAGAATGGCAAACTATAGGAGGGCAAGAGCAGTTTTTTGGTTTTGTTTACCTGAGCTAATAACCAAACCGAAAGCCTTGGACTTGCAGAGCAGGTCTCTTCGGGTGAACTATAGCCCCAACCCACAATAATATCTTAATGAACAATTTTTACTCAGAAAATAAGACTAGTTTCTTAGTAATGTTGATTCATGTGAGGGGGTATAAAACAGATCAAGTTATGATCTCTTAGTTGCTGATCAGATATTTTTAAAAAGATACAGCAACGTGGACCTATTAGTCATCCGGGAGAAATGTGAGGATGGTCCTGTAGTACAAGGCTTAGGGCATAAAAATGTGGCTGGGCAGCGGGGCTCGAACCGAGGAGACTTACTGGCCACAAAATAGCAGCACCCGACCGCGACGGAATCAAGCCGTGCCTATGCTGGCTACCAATGTTTTGATGGGAAAACACGCGGACCTAGCACCTGATACCAATCCTTGAGCACAAGGACAAGTGAGACCACCTGGATACTAGGGGACATTAACTGAAGGACAGCAGTTGACTTCCAGGCTATTGCAGGTTGGGGCTATAGTTCCCCAGAACTTTTGTTCTTGCCTTGATTCTTTCTGCTTTCAGGATGTATTTTCTCTTTTTTCTTCAAAGCACCTGAGTGCCTTCTTATTTCTGCTCTAAAATGAATAATGTTTTTTTTCTCGTACATCAGTTGTCCTGACTAATTCATTGACTGAGACAAATAACCTCCTGGAGTACGTTGCTGCTGGTCCCTACCCTATCTGATAACAGTTCTCCAGTTGATGATGTGTGCAGCACTTTCTACTCCTTGTCACCCTGTATCTAACCTATATGATGAAACCAGATTGTATTCTAGTTTTGCCATCTATTAGGGCATTTATTTTTATTAGTATGTGTTCATAGTACATAATTATTACATTTATCTTGTGTTGGTAATATGTACATAACATGTCTTAATTTTTTTTATCCTCTACCCCTCCCAGCCCTTCCTGCTCCCTCTACCTCTTGGTCCTCTTTCCACTTGTAAAAACTCTTACTTCCTTTCTTTCCCCTCAATTTTTTTTTCTTCTTCTTATCCTCTTTTCTTTCCCTCCATGCTCCTTCCCATCTCTTATTCTCTTTACCATTTCAAAAAGAAATTTATCTTTCAGTTTGTTCTTTATTTACATTTTGGATTTCTCATGTAAAGGAAACTATCTGGTATTTAAGTTCATTTGTCTGATTTATTTCACTTAATGTTTTGATGTCAAGGTGCACCCATTTACTTCTGAATGCCTCAAGTTTATCCTTTCTAGAAGAATAGTACACCACTGTGTATAAATACCATTCATCCATTCATCAGGCATATAGCCCATTTCTAAGATTTAGCTATTATAAATTATGCTGCTATGAATATAGATACACATATATCACTGTAATATGACTTTAAGTGTTGATAATACCTACAAGAGGAGTAGCTGGGTCATATGGGATTTCTTTCTTTTTAGTATGTGAGACAGGGTTTCACTATGTGGCTCAGGCTGTTTTTTAATTCATTATGTAGCCCAGGTGGTCACAAAGTCACTATGATCCTTCTGCCTTAGCCTCCCAACAAGTGTGTGCCACCACCCTCAGCCTTTTTTCTTTTATTTCTTTCTTTTTTTTTTTTTTTTTTGAGAGTGTTGGTTTCTCTATGTAGTTCTGGCTGACCTTGAACTCACTATGTAACCCACGCTGGCCTTAAACTTGGAATAGCCCTGCCTCAGCCTCCCAAGTACTGAGATTACAGACATGGGCCACCACATCTGGCCTGAGATTTCTATTTTGAAGTTTTTTGAAGACTCTCCATAATGGTTGTTCAGACCTAGTTTGCTTTCCCACCAACAATGTAAAAGCACCCTCTCCTTTTGTAGCATCTTGTTAACAAGGTATGATTTTTATAATAAATAACAATTCCCATGGGGCACAGGCAAGGGGTGGAGAGAGAAAGCCTTGTTAAATACAAAGATAAGCGGGGAAAGTGGCATAACAGGAAATCTCCTTTTATGTCTGGGATCACTTGGGATTTTTAGATTTATTAAAAGCAGAGAGTGGGGAACCTGTGCAAGTAAGAGGGCAACAGGAAGACACAGAAGTTACTTGGGAGGAAATGAACAAAGCTAAGGGGAAAAAAAGCTATAGAACAACAATGATACATGTTGGAGACAGATACCTGCCTTTCTGGTTGCCTAAATCTGTTCCTGACTAGGATATCCATTTACTTCCTTGTCTGTTCCCACTTGTGTATTAGTCCTGAAACTAGGCACATATCCTGCATCTGTCTAATGATTACAGCATTCATGTTGATGACTCAGTGAGCTGACCTCACAGCTTCTCATCTTTTCATTTTTAGTAATCATCAGCTTTGTAGAAACAACCCACACATTCAGGTTAGTCGTTGAAAGCAGTTACTCCATCTCCAAAATGAATTGGGCTTCCCTCTTTGTACCTATAGCCACCTACCTATCTTTTGTATTTAGGTCTTAATTTTTTGAGGCAGGGTCTTTTTTTTTTTTTTTTTTTGCTTTTTCTTTTTTTTTTTTATGGGTGCCGGGGATCAAACTCACGACTGCCTGCTTGCAAGGCAGACACTTATGCCACTAAGCTAAATCCCCAGCTCTGAGGCAGGGTCTTGATATTTAGCCCAAGCTGGGGTTGAACTTACTGTGTAGCCTGCTGGCTCCGTCCGAACTTGTGATCCTCCTGCCTCAGTCATTCTAGTGTTGGGATTAAGGTGTGCACCACCATGCCTGCTGCCCACCTACCCTTTCATCTCCCTTTTGTGCTTATTCCCACTGAATCTACAGTGTCTTCAAATAACCTCCAGTCTCTGTTCTCATAACTTATCAGTTGTTTCCTGCCTTGTCTTCCTAAGCAAGGAGGATTCTTTTAGCAACCATTTTAAATGCACTCTTAATAGAAACTTTAAGTTCCTTGACCTTCAGCCAAGTTTACTTTATCAACCTATTTCCTATTTCCCTTTTCCTTGAACTGTTGGTGCCATCCCAACATTCATTGCTAGTACAGAATCATAATTCATTATTCTCTGGAGAAATTGAGACTACCATTTGAGAGCGTTCTTGCTTCTTCTCCAACTTAGAATGTATGTATTCTGCCACCCTTTTTTTTCCTTAGTAGAATAAAGCCCCTTCATGTTCTTTATTGGTTATCCTGCTCCTCTATTCTAGTTCCTACTCCTATTAAATTTAATCTCCTAGTTTTATATCTTTTATTATTAACATTAGTTTAGAAACTTTAGAAATCGAGTTTTATTTTTAAATTGAGTATTAATGGTGAGTTGGAAACAATTTATGTCTTAAAATCTTTTTAAGGTAACAATCTAATTCACAGATATAATGAGAACTAAATGTATCTCAAAATGAAGCCAATTAAACTATATTATGATCTACTCAACAAAGTGAATTTAAGGTGAAATATGAATTTAAATGAAGTTGTAATTAAATTTCCAAGATAGAAAATGAAAAAATTTCATAGCAACAAAAATAAGAAGCATTATGACTAGTGTTTCAAAATTTTTACCAGAGAATAATATGTACTAAGAACAGTGAATATACTACAAACATACACCTTGAAAAACTTTTCATAAAGGAGACACAAATATAACTAGAAACACAACATGCGCCTATATCCAAAGGCCCTTCCTGCTGCCTTCCAACCACCAGAAGACCACGAGTGAACAATATTCTGATTTCTAACACCATAGTTTTATGATTCTAATTTAAAAATTGATAAAATCTGAATATGTCAATGTTCATTATGCACACTTATGCAGAGGTCAAATCTTCTTCATGGAAGCATGCATAAGGAACACATACATTTATAATGAATAAACAGATGGCTGCGTTGGTGTTCTGAAGTCCCAAAACTTAAGGCCATCCCAACCTATCCAATTTATTGAATTTGTTTACTCAGTAAACATTTATTAAGCATTGACTATATGTTGGCCCTTAGATGTAGATCTGAGGGAGATGTGTATGTTGTTTATGGGGGCACAAAAGTCTAGCAATATTGATACCTGAAAGAAAAATTACAATAATGTCATAGAGCTATGGGGAAGGTATTAAGAGAATATTTGGGATACACAAGTACTGTAGTAAGATGACATTGTGAGAATGCTGTTGCTTATTTTTATCTCCAGTTACACATCTTCACACCCTGTTGTGGATTAAAGTTGGTCAGTCCTTCAACATTTTATGAAAGAATGAGGTTGACTTCCACTTTTGAGTCTGGCAAGCCTAAGTATTATATTGCTCAAAGGAGTACAGCCAGAAGGACTCTTTGCCAGTTGGAGGCCTAAATTTTTTTTTTCAGCACTAAGAATTGAAATGAAGCCCTTTGCAATGAACTATATTCCCCAGCGCTTTAGAATTTTCTTTTTCTTTTTTTAAATTTTGAGACAGGTTATTGCTAAGTTTCTAAGTTGTCCAGGCTGGGCTTAACCCCATGATCTTCCTGCCTCAGCCT